GGCTTTGGAGAAAGCTCCAAGGTCAAAATCTTCTTAATGGCAAGTCCAGTGGCATGGGCTGTAAATATCTGAAGGTTTTACAGCCTTTGAATTTTGATTTAAATTATGGGGTTAGAGACCTCAGAATGAGCTCAAATTTAAAGGGTAGCATCTAGAGACATGTCCCATCAGCATACAACTAATAGACCCAGAATCAGAGGTCATTAGGTTGGGTTTCAAAGTGTTTGAAAATTCATTGGAAAAGGCCTTTAGGACAAGACTTCTAGACTTTGGATTTGAATCTGGATTTTGGATTTTCATTGAGGCTTGAATTGAATTTAGATCTAGATTGACTTGGGGTTAGGATTGATCTGGAATCTGGATGGATCCTTAATGACCTCATACAAAAATGAGGTCAACAAAGCCCAGGGGATTTCCGCAGACCCCGAGACGGTGAGGGTCATTGTTAAATGGCTTGTCCCTCATAACATTCGGGAAGTCCACAGCTTCCACAGATTAGCCACCTTCTATAGGAGATTTATTCAAAATTTTAGCACTATCGTATCTCCTATCACTGATTGCTTAAAGAATGATGATTTCCACTGGACCCCAACGGCCACCAAAACTTTTGATGAGATCAAGCAAAAGATGGTGGAAATCCCAGTGATGAGACTTACTGATTTCTCCAAAGTCTTTGAAGTAACCTGTGACGCTTCGGGGGTTGGAATTGGAGGAGTTCTCTCACAGGAAGGTCACCCAGTAGCCTATTTTAGTGAAAACCTTAATGATATTCAGCATCGCTATTTCACGTATGACAAAGAGTTTTACGCTATGATCCAATCTCTTCGTTATTGGTGACACTACTTGCTCCCGCAAGAGTCTATCATTTTCTCGGATCCTGAAGCTCTGAGTTATATCAACTCCGAAAAGAAATTAAATGCACGCTACGGTCGATGGGTCAAGTTCCTTCAAGAGTACACTTATACCCTTAGACATAAAGCGGGAGTTGAAAATATAGTTGTCGATGCTCTCAGTCGTCCTATGATGACTACTACTATCATGAGAGCAGAAGTCGTGGGATTTGACCAAGTAAAGAGGGACTATTTGGAATGCTCCGACTTCAAAGATACCTACTCTCTCTTATCCACAGGCAGCACACGCCTTGTGGATGATTTCCTATTGGAGGTGGTTATCTTTTCAAAGCCCAAAGGCTTTGTATCCTTAGCACCTCCCTTGGAGAATTTCTTGTCTAGGAACTCTACGCTAGAGACCTCGCTGGGCACTTCGGTTGGGACAAAACTATTGAAGTTATGGAGTATCACTTCTATTGGCCCAGCCTGAAGAGAGATGTCGGTCGGATGGTCAGTCGATGTCACACCTGCTAACTGGCCAAGCAAAACATGGGTATGTACACTCCTCTACATGTCCCCAGTTGTCATTGGTAGGAAGTTAACATGTACTTTATCTTAGGCCTACCCAAGCCACTCCGTAGGAACGACATCATTTGCATTGTAGTTGATCGGTTCTCCAAAATGGCTCATTTTCTTCCTTGCTCCAAAACATCCGACGCCTCTCACATTGGGAAGTCATACATCAATGAGGTCATACATTTACATGGTTTACCCAAAACCATTATATCGGATCGGGATGTGAAATTCACCAACTATTTTTGAAAAACCCTGTGAATGAAAATGGGTACTAAATTGCAATTTTTCACTGCCTTTCACCCACAGATGGATGGCCAGACCAAGGTAGTTAAAAGGAGTTTGGGTAATCTGTTGCGGTCTTTGATTTGAGAAAACATTAAGGAATGGGATTCCATTTTGCCTACTGATGAGTTTGCTTATAATAATTCTATTAACCGAACCAAGGGCCTAAGTCCTTCTGAAATTGTATACGGGTTCAAACCTAGACAACGGCTAGACTTTATACCCATGTGTTCTAGGTATAGGATTTCTGAGTATGCATCATCATTTGCATACCATTTGCATGAACTTCATAAGGAAATTGCACAACAAATTAAAAAGAGCAATAATGAATACAAACTATATGCGGATTTAAAATGGGTCCCTCATTTTTCTAGTCTGTGTTTTCTATTTTCTGTAGTTTATCTTGTGGTTTGTTTTAGTTTCTGTTGTGTTGTTTACTTTTTCTTTTGTGTGTCTAGGACCCTCTTTTTGTGATGACAAAAGGGGGAGTAGGATGGATAGGAAAAGTTGATTGTGCTTCGTAACTTGAAATTTTATGAACTGTTGTTTTTACTGAGCTTCGCTACTTTGTTTTGTCATCATCAAAAAGGGGGAGGATTGCTGCAAATCTATTTTCCATGACTTATGTTTGATGATTGACAAACACTATTGATTCCTTGGGCTGGCTTGTTATTTCTGAACTGTCAGGAATCGAAGATCGGTACAGGTGAACAAACGATAGGCCATTCAAGAATTTGCGTAGGCAGGGGTGAGCAGTTCTATACTGTTTTTTCTTCTTTGAGTTCTATTGGTAATTGTGCAAAGAGACTGACTCGCTTAAGAACCTACACACAGCGGGTCGAAGGTTCACACTTGAGAGACTTATAATTTATGTTTTTACTCATCATCGGCTCCAAACGATGTATTTTCATCGTCCTGGAAGACCAGGTTCTTAAAACGAAAGTCCTAACATAAGGATTTTATAATTAAGGCAACGTCATTACAGATCATCCTGGACGATACGTGTAATCGGTCAGGCGACGATAAGATCAAATAGAAAGAAGTTGCCGCCATAAAAATTAAGGTATACTGTATTTTTTAATAATCGGCCAGCGATGATCGTTCCTGGACGATATTCACAAATTATGCCTTAATTGATCAGGAAATCAATGGAGAATTAAGATGATTGATACGATCATATCGTCCTGGACGATTGCAGTATCCCAGGACGATCTATTCAAAAACCTGGGTTACTTCAAGAATGATAAATATCGGCCAGCTCGAATTCAGGGAGATGCTCTGGACGATTCCCCTGATTTGAACTGATCGGTGCCGGGACGATCGTGAGACGGCCCCTGGACGATCAAGCCATTTTAAATCTATCCAGTTTGCATTCAGGGCGATGTCTGGCCGATCTTCTAAGATTTGTATCTGATCGGGCCAGGCCGATTGTCCATATCGGCCTGGACGATATTGTCGATAACTTGCAATTAATGAGCTCTTTTGAAGCTCTTCTATTTAAGAGCTCTTGTTCAACGTTTGAACAATCTTTTGCTGCTGCCTTGGCCTGAGAAGACCTTGAGGAGAGAAAGGAGAGAGGGAGAGAGAGAGGATATTGTGAGGGGGAGCTTGTGAGGGAATTCACAAGGGTGCTTCAAGGATCGCTCTGCTTCTTCGTCTAGAGTTTCTTGTCCGTGGAAAGGTCGGTAGAGGTAATGTTTTCAGCACTAGATTGTGGTTCTCATCAACTTCAGGATGAAGCAAAAGGAGATAGTTCTCTGCCTTGCCGGGGTGGCAAAAAGGACTTCTTTGTTAGGGCTTCTCCGCCTAGCCGTGGGGGCTAAAGGAGAGACACATTTTGAAGTGCAATACTTGGAGGGTGCCTCCAAGAAGTGGACGTAGGTCAAGTTGACTGAACCACTATAAATTTATGTGTTATTGTTTTCTTGCTTCCGTACTTTTATTTCCGCATTATTTTTGTCTTGTGGTGTGATTTAGTTTTGGTTTGTGATCTTATTGCTTTTGTTGAAAAGAATTTTTAAAAATACCAATTCACCACCCTTCTTGGTTAGCTTGGGCCAATTCTATAGGGCTTAACATCCCTAACGAACTTTCACTCTTGAATTTTTAACCTAAGATCTTCACCTCCATGTGAAGAGTAAAGGGTTATTCAAAATTTTTTTGGAGTGACATGCTCCATAAATATGGAGAAGATCCGAAGAAAATTCGGAGTGTGTAATCAGACGACAAATATTGATCCCCTCGATCATAAAGCCTTCGTTCAGTATTAAAGTACCTTAATAATATCAAAATTCAACAATCGATATCTACCTATCTCTCTCTCTCTCTCTAGAGAGAGAGAGTGAGAGATAGATAGAGAGATATAAAGATGTTAAAACTAAAAAAACCCTTGTTAAAATTTCAATATAGCATTTTCTACCCTTGAGCTAGGGAGAGAAAGAAAGATAGAAAGAAGAGGAGTTTCACCGTTCATCATTTCATTTAATCATTCAGTCTCAATCAAATGCCCTAATACAAGGCTCCAACCCCTTATAAATAAACTAGGGAGTTAAACTTTAAGGAAATAAACACAATAATGTGTTCTTATAGCATATATAAGAGATATTTAAAACATGTTTAAATTAAATAGACATCAGGTTAACATTTAATTTAAAAATAAAGTGACAACCATATTTATCATGCATCAACCTCTAAGGGCATCTCCAACCAAAATCTCATTTTGCATTCCAAAATGCAGTGAAACCAAAAAGTGTCGTGATTCATCTCCAATCAAACGTCATTTTTCCCCCTAACCATCGCTCTCTTCTTTCACGCATTTCTTCCGGAAGTTCGGTAGAGACCAAAAAATGGCGCAGATGAACAGTGCGACGCCAATATTGGCATCGCACTGTTCATCCCCGATCAAAAGGCGGAGGAAAAGGTGTTCGGTTGCGACGTTTGAGGGCCTCCATTCGATTGTTTGCCGAACGGTTGGAGATGGTTTAAGTACTTCCAAAATTAAAATTTCACACGTTCCGTTCTCAAACTTATTCACATTGAACAATTTTTAGTGTACTTACTATCTTGCATCCATTATTATTATTATTTAAATTCACAAAATACAATAATTTTAGTGAACATAATTATAAATTATCATGATGTGCAAACATAAATCTATTTTTTTATGTTTTTTTCTAATTTCTTTAATGTTAGTGAAGAATCAGGAAAACTTTAACAGTTTTTAAAATATATATAGTTGTGATTGTTTCATAGATATGAAAAATTATTGAAATCAATTGTAACATATTTTCTTGTATTTAGAGTTATCTTACATGTAGTGCTTTCATGTTTTATAAAGCCATATATCATCCATGAACATGGTGCATCTTGGCTCCTCCACTATAGAGGGAAGCACCGAAAAGGAAAAAAAGGAGAAAACACACAGCAGACTAGTTAAATCAAAATTATGACAGAAAATGAAAATAGCAGAGAAACGAGAGTAGAAATTTTCAGTTGTGATAGTATTCTATTAATCCTCATCATAACAATATTGCTACTACTTGAAGTGATATTACTACAGGTCTTTAACATCATCATAATCAGCATCATTAAATTTAGAAATATCTTAAACTTGCCATATTTTCTCTATTCAGTGAAGGTCAGTCAATAGATATTCCAAAGTAAAACCACAACCTTTTTTCATTTGATTAGTAAGTAACATGGTTGAACATCAGACATCACTATAAAATGAAAGGAGATTACTCTTTTCCCATGCCTTTCTTATAAGGAATCAATGGCAAAGAAAGAAGTCATAAAGACATACCCAAATGGCTAGATATTGCTCATGAGCTAAGCATTTGTCCAAATATATTTTCGGATTAACAGATTATAAGCTTAGAACCAAACTCATTTATTTTGATAAGATCACTGATATTCTTTAGGAAACAAATAAAAAAAATATCGGAACAGAGAAACTTACTTTTTTTCTAAATTCCATAACTGTCGAAATGCATGACGCATCTGCAAACATGAAACAATTTAATAATCATAGAAGGCTATTAACAGATTTTTACAACAACACTACGTGATACAAGTTAACACAAAATTATGATGACACATCATGGTAGTAAAACCTCAAAAAAAGGGGGAAAAAAAGATCCAGGAGTACCCAAACAGAAGTATGATGTAAATTAGAAAAATGGATGCAGTACGGCTGAATGTAATCTGATAAAAGTTTGTTCATTATGTTTCTTATAGAGTTCGAGCCAAATTTGACTACGGCATAAGTTTTAAAATCTAGTCGAAGCTTGCATATTTATTTTCTTATGGAGTTTAGGTCCGAATCAACCTTAACCAACTCTACGTAGATACTAAGATTTAAATATATAGCATTATTATAGCTAGTTATGCTAATAAGTTGTTAAGCACATATGTCAAAAAGAAATAAAATAGCTTTTAATCTATCAATAGCAGCTATTTGATTATTTTTTTAATAAGAAAAAAAATCAAAATGATCCATTGACTTTTTATGAAATATCAAAATAGTTCACGACCAAATTAAAGGATTGGTACCTCAATTCCTTAAAAAAGGAACCAAAATAATTCCACTATGAGATTATTTTGATTCCTCTTTAAGGATTTGAAGGATCAAAATGACCTTTTAATTCAGTTGAGGACTATTTTGATCATTCATAAAAAAGTCAAGAGACTATTTTAATCATTATCTCTTTTTTATCATACTTATATCTTATAAATGTGCATAATTTCTGAAGTTCATAAGATATAAAAAATAGATACAAGAACATAGAATAAGTAATTAAAAAAAAAGGTTAAGTCATTATTAAATGAGCATTTTATCCGAGTTACTTGTCGAACAATGAATTAGCATGACCACAAATATAAATGAATGAGTGGGTCAATGTTCAAAACTGTTCATTTAAATGTCCACATTTAACACCTTCAAAATTTTTAGAAACAAATATAAATAATCCTTATATCCACAAATATTAAGTCGTTCAGCAAGCATATTAGTTCACTGATAGCCCCATCTAGAATTCTTGAAGCAACAAACATCTTCAACCAAAATAAAGTGGCACTAATCATTGTTAACATGAAAATAACACGATGCTCACAGAGAGAGATTCAGGATCGCCAGCACTGGTACCAGCCACAAAAGGGTCAATCATATAATCAACCACCTATAATGGGAAAACAGAATAACTTGGTAAGCACATCACTAAAATTTCATTCAACATGAAAATAAAATTTTTAACATTGGAAACAGTAAAAAAGGGATAAGATAAGCCGATGTTTATTTAACTTCCCAAAAAGGTTCACAGACCTCAGTTCCAAAGTGGCGTTTAAAGAACTGGCCCACGCTGAAAGGATAAAATAAAAGACATGTTCAAGTCATTATTAAAATCAAAATTTTACATCATTTTCAGCTGAATAATCAAATTATAAATTTTCAGAACATGGTTTTGATGCTCAATATATTAATCCTCCTTTCCGATATGTATGCTGCTTGAATTCTCACTCCAGAATCTTATTATATTCACTTATTGCTGCCATTACATTTCCCATCAATGAAATCTTTAATTTCTTTTCAGGAGACCCAATTATCATGAATAAAGAGAACCAAAACAATCCAACCATGGGAGAATTTTAGAGTATGCAAGCTTCATTCTGACTGAATGAAAGAAATAATGTTAAGTGGTTTCAAATTGTGAAAAAAAAAATTTTGTTTTGAAAGAAAAAGGGAAACTCAACAAATTTATAAATATTCCACCAATTCCTAAAGATGGAAAGCCCATACTTAGGGATGAAAATGATTCTGCGATTATGAAATGGCTACAAAACTACATGATATGGAAGTGCAGCATAGACATTCCTAATAACAACAAATAAAGTTAAGGCAGTTGGGATACAAATCTACTTATAGATCAAAATGCTTCCCTTATGTATATGAGATCAAGACAAAACTCTCGACTACCAAAAAAGTAACAAGCCTATTATTGAATACTTCAACGCAAAGGAAAATTTTTAGTTGGATTTCAAGACTAAACTCAAATATCATGTAGAAAAAGATAGAATATTTAAATTCCTTGTAGGTCCTAACATAGAGTTTGACCAAGTTCATTTCTAAATCTTTGCAAAAGAAGTTCTAGAATCATTAAATTAAGATTTCTCCCTAGTAAGGGTTGAGAAAGGTACAAAAAGACAATCATGTTGGAAGCGCCAAAAGCTTAGAAGGATCGACCAAGAAGACAAAAGGAAAAAAATTCAGGAAGAATGACTTATAGTCAATGAACAAACCCAAAATAAATGATTCATATCATAATTATTCGACAAAATTTATGCTGTCTATCGACAACCTAACGCAATCATCCACTTTTCTCATCCAAAACTTGGGACTTGACAAACCAAGAATGAAGACAAAAAAATCCATCATAAAGACAACCTGATGAGGACATCGGAGATCAACGGCTACGAACTTGAGTTATTTATTTATATGTTTTATGTCCTAGTTCATTTCATATTGTTGTTTTTCCCATTATACCCTTACGGGTGGTCATGTATTGTTTTAGCCTGAAGGGCATTTTAGTCTTTTATTTCTTTTCTTGTCTTGAGGCCTATTTATAGGCTAGTTGTTTTGTATTTTGGGATGATGAATGATTAATGAAAAATTTGATTTGCTTCTTCTTCTTCTTCGTGCATGAGAGCTAGAGAGAAGGGAGAGAGAGCTTGATGTGAGCAAGCGCAAGGCCCATCAGTCGTTGGAAGAAGTAATTTGTTCTTCTATCTTTGTTTTTCCCGCATCCCCTTTCCTCTCACCGCCCACTGTCTCCTTACAAGCCCATCCCCACCCGTGGCTTAATCCCACGCACCATTTCATCCACTAGCTTCCCCACTTCCAGTCCAACCACCATCAAGGCCCGCCCACCACAACCCGACGGCAAAACCTTCTCCTCCCTTTGGCCGCCGGCCATCCTCATGATCCAAGCCGTTATGATGATTTCAATCATCATAATAACTCCTTAATTTAGATCTAGCATTAAAGGAAGGAGTTAGTTAGTGAGTTTTGAAATTCAAAATTAAAGGAAGGAGTTAGTGAGTTTTGAAATTCAAAATTTGAAATTAAAAACTTTCCTTATTTGTGAAATCTAAAAAAAAAAACAAGGAAAGTTTCCAAATTTGAAATCCAATGAAATTTAATTTGAGGAGGAATCATTATTTTTTCCCCCAAATTACCCGAGCTTGTTTGGAAAGAATTGAAACCCTCATAATCACTCCTCTCTTTCTCCCCATGCCGCCGGCCCTACTAGGGCTCACCCCCACTAATCTTCAATCAATGCATTAATTGCCTGTTAATTTGAAATCAAAATTCAAATAAGTTCCCTCCAAGATTACTCAAAATTAAGCCCCACCTCTTTTCTTTCTTTATTTCTTTCCCATAATGATCCCCAATCAGCTCCTTATTTTGAATCAAATTAAATTCCTAATTGATTGGAATTCAGCCTAGCCATTCCTGAATAAGAGTTTGGGCAGGAATATCATAGTTTTCTTGCATCCATTGCCACCCCCTTCCCAGGCCTCTCCGCCCCCTTACATCCCATCTCTTTGGAGATTCCCGGTGGTTGTCCAAGATGCTACAGCAGACCAATCCTACTGTCCTGATTCCCGAGAGGCCACTCCTGCTGTCCAGGACCACTCCAACTTAGCCAACTATTATCCCGTCACCCAGGTTGCTATTTGGACTGTTGTTGGAAGTCTTTGTGTGACAAAATGGGGGTTCCAACCATCACCTGCTGCTGTCCACAAGTATCCAGCTACTGCCCTTTCAGTTTGGTGTCCTATTCTTGTTTCCCTACTATCCAAGAAGTTAATGATCACCTTCCTAAGTGTGTCCAAGCCTTGACGTTACTGATTGCTCCTCATCTAGTGCATTGTTGATCAAACCAGAAGATTCGTATTATCTGATTATTTGGGTAAACTCTCCCCCAAATCATTAAATCTCTTAGTCACTTTTCAATTGTGGTTTATAAATGATTCATGAAGATTCTCGTCAATCTCTCCGCTAAACCCTCTTAACTAGATAAGTTGAGTGAGGGATTTCCTTGTAGTGACTAGTCTTATTGTTAGTGTAGGGATTTTGTGTTGAAACCACTTATGCATGAATCATAAATTAAGTTGGCTATTGTTCGATCTTAACTTTCTATACATGTGGTTTAGCCTAAGCTTGTCTTACTATTCTTTGTGTTTTAATGCGTCATTTAAATTCACCATTAAGATATAATTATTTGTTTTAGGAATATTAAGTGTGCAAATTCCTTAAAGCAATTCGTCCATGCAATTATGTTTCACATCACAACCTTAATGTAACTATTATAAGAAGGGGCATACCCAAAAAAAAAATTATGGGAACTTCATGAAAAACCTCAAGGTTGTGGTGGAGAATATAAAGGAAACACGTCAAAGGATCTAACTCATTACACAAAACTGAGAGGGCATAACACAAAAAGAAATCAACATCCTAAGAAATTAAGTTCTCAATAAAAATTCCCATAGCTAATCATTAAAATAAATAAATGTCTAATAGTATAAGGGATTTTATTGAAGCTAACACTCCTACTATTTGGCCATTACGAGACTATAAAATAAGGCCACAAACTATCTGAACTCTCTGTCAAGCTAAGATTCAAAACTTGCATGGGATTTGTTAACAGGAGTGCTCAAAGCTTGTTGATGATGAGTTCTTTGACGAGCATGCTTGTCTCAAAATTTTTAATATGTTCGATGTATCATTTAGCACACTTCTTATACACTATTTTGCTCATTTTCTTTCATAAACTCATTTGTATCCATGTTCTCAAAGGTGACAAGTTATAATTGAAGCGCACATAACAATGATCTTGTTCTTTGTTATTCGCAAATTTGTATGAGTTTATTTGTTTTGCCGTTTATTTTTCTAGCATTCCCTTTTTCATTATTTAAGTTTTTTTGGGTGAATTTTAGGAACGCTTTTGCATCCATCCTCCCCTTTTTCCTACGAAGGGTAGCAAAAGTGGACCATCTTGACAAGCCACTAAAGGCAATGCTTTGGACCCCGCCTCCTCCTTCCCATAACAGCCAAAAACACATCCCACTAAAACATTAAAGGTATTTAAGGGCATTTATGTGGCGTATTTGTACACAAAATCACATAAAATCTGTTGAAAATAGGTTCCTAGCATATCAAAATGACATGAATGAGTAACCTGTGATGAGCTCAAAGTCTCTCTCATTTATGCTCATTGTGGCATGGTATTTGTGAGAGGACGAGCAAAAAAGTGAGCAAGTGAGTGGGAAATAGAGAGCTGGAGGGAAAGAGACAAAAGAACATTCGGGTACTAAGTACAAAAAAGAAAGAAACCTATGGGCAATGTGGAGATGGGCTTTTAAACTTAAAGAAACAAAACTACTAAAGGAGGCCATCAAACTACCTATGCACTTGCTGAACTTAGAACCCCAATCCCCCTCCTCTTTTAAATTTATAAATTTTTATATAAATAATGGGGATATATACCTTCATACATATTTATGCATCACCACCAGCAGAAGACTACTTATTGAGGGCATCAAAAGATATGCCATTCACCCTTTTTTTCTTTTTTTAAATGGGGGCAAGTATTTACAATGTCAAAGAGACATAATTGGATGGTATAGGGCATTGTTGCCTGTGTCCAACTATGATGTCATTTTATATATATTGTTGACCGTCTGAGTGACCATTGGGAACATTTAGGGTTTTGAAAGGGCGATCTAATCGATGATTCGGGTTAGGGCAATGAATTTGAACCATTGTCATTGTGCAGTGTCAAATTTGTTAAGCCATTAAAGATTTTGAATTCATGCATCGCATAGCATAGAAAGTTGCAGATTTTTAATAACCAACTTGATGCTAATGGCTGAAGACAATAAGTTACAAGTCTGGGCTAGGTTCATTGCCAAAATAACTTTTACGCTCTATGGTAAATTTCTTCTAATTTTTATTTATGGCTTGGAGTTAAATCTTACCACGCGAAATTATTTATGATAATATGCATACAAGGAAAATAATTGTTTCTGGAGCTCAAGAAAGATGAGAAAAAAATTTTAAAAAGAAAAAATAAAAACCAAAAATATTGAAGAAAATTATTCAGATATCACTGGGTTAAAATTCAATGTGGCATGCCAAGAGAAAAACCAAAAAAAAAAAAAAAAAAAAATCTATATTTCTAAAAGCACGTACCACCAAACTATCATGAGAGACGTTATTTCTTGTACTCCTGTATCAACGCCTTTATGGAAACTTCTTTTATTAGAATGCCACCATGACAATGGCTCCAATAGGATCTTCAACTGCAACAACAAATAATTGTAATGCAATTCATAGTGGGTGAGAAACCAATGAAGAAGAAATGGAAGCAAATTTTCACCCACTACTTGATGAATATTTTTCAGGAAGATCGTCTATGAAATGTATGAGTCATAGAAGAGATTTTATCTACAGCTACCTGATGTGGAGCCCTTCTGGTCAGATATTTTTGTAAATACGGAAAATGCACTAGCCAATATTGAATATCTTTACCAAAAATAGAAACGGGTGAAATCTAAGACACCTAAATGCATGCCAGTACAGTAGAACAAAATAAAATGATATCACAATAGTTCAATAGCATGGGTGTGCTGAATACTGTGCCAATAGTGTACGAGCTAAAATTGGTTCATACAAATAAATTGAATATAGTAATGAGTCTATGTATAAGAAGCACATTTTTTATTGAGAACAGAAAAATGTAAGATCAGTTTTTTTTCATTTTCTAAAAAAAATTGCAAATGATAACTAGAGTTCTATTGCAAGTAAGTTAGCAAAACGAACCTTTAATTGTGTGGAAAGGATATTGCTTTTGATTAGTGCGACTGGATTTGAAGGAATCTGACATGCCAAAATACTAAAAATATCAGCTGCCAAAGATATCCATGAAGAAGGAACAAAGCAAGAATGAAATGCCGTGCAGTTCTGAAGGAGAAAATTACCAATTGTGGCATCCCGTTCCTCACAACATAGCGCTTGTTTTGAGAAATAGGCTGTTCATATGACAGTAACTTCAAAAGTTGATTTTAAATCATCATATTCAACATTGAAGATGGATAGATGCACAAAAGAAACAACGGGAGAATCATTAACCATATATTAATTATTTAAGGCGATTTCATGAATCCCTATTCTATATTCATTTTGTTGGAGTTACACTGCGTGCTAACTCTAGTTTATATAAATTTTTGCTCAATTTTTTGTCAAGTTAGCTTTGAATTGCTTTTGCCTATTTTCCTTTATAATCTTCTCTCAGTGACTCTGTATTTTTCATATTATCTCATCTTCTCTCCATCTTAATAACTTGCTAAGTTTATAATTTCATTGTCTCATCTTCAAATTTGTTAATATTCAAACAACCTACGTCGATTTTAATCTCAGATAGTTTGTTCATCTTTCTGATATATTTATTTTTGGTATATCCTTCCTAATCTCTAGAACACATGCATTATAAAATTCAAATTTCTGCATGAACCAACATGGTAGTTACTTTTCCTCACAACATTCAAAACTGTAAGCAACTGCCATTTTATAAGATTGATCATTAAGGCTTTGAAATTTTAGAGATGTCAAGTTATGAACAACTACAATAACCCGATGGGAAATCAAAATGAATGGAGTACAGGTTGGTTCAGGTTTACTACTAAACATAGATCCAACATTTTTTGGATTGTATTCGGATTTATTTGATAATTATGATCAAATAAAACTTTTAAGACATTATTTTATTTTATCAAATGTTCTGTTAAGCTCTATGAGAGACACACTATACCAGTGCTCTTTTAACACTGTTATAGGGAGTCTTTACAGCTTTTTGCTCCCTGGCTTGTGTCTCCAGCCCCTTCACACTAGGGTCTTGAGCCAAGTCATGAGTAACCTCTCAAGTGAGGTTCACATCACTAGCAGGTCCTTGTGATTAACAACGGTAAATAGGGACTGATGCAGTTAACTATGCAAAGGCTGCAAGTAATGAACCAATGGTGAAGGTGACAACCCTTGCATGTGATCAATGATGTGACTGGAGTAAAGGACCTGCATTCTGGTAAAGCTTGTGGGAAAGGACTATTAGACCAGTCCAATGTCCAGCTAGTCCACACGGGACCATCCCAAAATAGAGGCAGAATTTCCCAGCCTCGTGCGCATGCCACGAGATCAATGGGAGTTTTTTTAGAAGGTTTTTTGAGGGAATCAGGAGAGAAATTTGAATGTAGGGACTGTTTAGGGATTTCCTTGTGATTTGTATGAATTAAATAGTTTGTTTTCATTGGGCCAGGGCATCTTGAATTTGGCTGAAATTTGAAACCACTTAGATCAAGATTTTCTTTGGGCTCTAGCGACGTCTAGAGATTTGGGAGAGATCGATCCTCCTCTCGAATAGAAGATCAATGATATCTTGCTGTTTTTTTCGTCCTCTAGTGAATTTCAAGAGATTTTCTCATATTTTCCTACAGTTTTCGCAAAACCTGCACTAAAGTTGTTGTTTTTCTTTCCTGAAATCCAGCAGTGTTATGGATTTATGGTGGTTGTTTCATACCAAATTGGTATCAAAGCAGTTTTTGGGACCTTTGATAAGCTGTTTTGGTAAATTTTAGCAGATGTTCTTGGGATTTCAAAGAAAAAAGTTGTTATTTTTGAAGGTTGAAGTCTAGATTTTTATTTCTACAAAAATTCTGGGATCAATGGTGGCCAAAAAAATGGATGTGTTGGAGGAATGCCTTGAAGTGGAGATTGGACAAATGAAATCTGAAATTTTAAATCTCCAAACTCAAGTTTTAGATTTTAAAAAGGATGTTTCATCCATCCATTATAAGTTCAATTAAAAATTTTCCATCCTGGAGGAGATGGTGAAGAAACTGCTCGAGGGACAAACCAAAATATCGCAGTTGGAGGTGAGGGAGGGCGCCGACAGCCACGAAAGTGGGGAAAATCTGAAGCCAACCAGACAAAAGGAAGATCAAGTGGTAGAGATTTTGGAGGGAGCAAAAACAAATGCCTCCCCTAAGACCTATTCCTAGGGAGGAGTCCGATAGAGGGTATGTGGAGAGATGTGAGGGGGTTGGGCATGAGTGAAGTGATGTTGAATTTGAAAGAAGAGGGGCAGAATTGGAAAGACGAGGCCTTGATTTTGATCGAAGAGGTGTTCAATTTGAAAGAGAAAGGGATAATTATGTCCAAAGGGGGACTGCATCTGAAAGGGGAGGAATTTGTTATGATATAAGAGGTGCATAATTGGAAAGGGAAAGGTGGAAAATTGAAGATGGGCTTGGGTACGAACTTAGAAGGGATGATTTGGACACTTGGGGGGGGAACCACCTTCTCGGAGAAGAAGAAATTATGAAAGGAAAAGATGGAACATATGTGATCTAAGGGTGACGAGGCTAAAGATGCCTATTTTTGAGGGATAGGATGTCCATGGGTGGATCTATAAGATGGAAATATACTTTACTATCAACAGGTTGATGGAGGGGGACAGATTGATGGCAGTTGGGATGTGTTTGGAAGGGAAAGCTTTAGCATGGTACCAGTGGAGGGATACGAGACGACCAATAAGAACCTAGAGGGATTTTAAGGACTGCCTATTGAAACGTTCCCAAACTAGCAGGGGAGGGGACTTCTACGAATAGTTCTTCACTTTGTCATAGAGGGGACAATGATGGAATATCGTGAGCAATTTGAGTACCTTGCCAATCGATTGGATTGGCTTCTAGAATCTATACTAAAGAAGAACTTTATGAAGGGACTAAAACCAATGATCCGCGTAGCAGTCAGAGTGATGAGATCTCGGGACATGGGAGAGTATATGGAGCTAGCTCCGTTGGTGGATGATCATACTGGAAAAAGGAATAGGAAGCAACAATTCAGGAGGCTCGTAAACGATGACCACCAACTTTTTGGCACCCAAGGAGCCAACATCGGGTACTCTTAGGGAGACTTCGAAGGAGAAGACTGTCGGAGGAAGACCTAGAGATAACTTAAAGAAACTCATAGAAATAGAATTATAGGAGAAGAGAGCGAAGGGATCTCTTTCAGATGTGATGAGAGGTATACGCCAGAGCACAGGTGTAAGGATCGAACTCTTCAGGTTCTTACTGTTTGTGATGATGAAGAAATGTAGGAGGGTGTTGTTTTTTCACCTTGCGAACAAGGTGGATCTTTGGGAGGGGAGTATTGTTAGACCGGTCCATTGGACCAGTCAGGCCGATCCATACGGGATTGGCTCAGCGCAACAGAGGCGAATTTCTTTGCCTCCTGCGCATGCCGCAAGATTAGTGGGAGCTTTTTTTGAGGAAATTAGGAGGGAAATTTGAATGTAGGGACTGTTTAGGGATTTCCTTTTAATCTGTATGCATTAAATAGTTTGTTTTCCTTGGGTTAGGGCATCTTAATTTGGCTAAAATTTGAGATCACTTAGATATAGGTTTTCTTTGGGCCCTAGCGGCGTCTAGAGATTTGGGAGAGATCGATAATCCTCTCGAATAGAGGATCAATTGTATCTTGCTATTTTTGTTCGTCCTCTAGTAAATTTCAAGTGATTTTCTCATATTTTTCTTATAGTTTTCGCAAAACCTGCACTATAGCTGCTTTTATATATATATATATATATATATATAGAGAGAGAGAGAGAGAGAGATTATTTTATATTGTACACCATATTTAAAATGGCGTAAAATGGTGTGTGCCGTGCCGTGCACTATATGTCATGGCTCCATGAGGAACTTTGCGTCGTTGTGCGTCATTCGCCATTGACAAGTATGCCAGAAACTTGGATTTCTAACAAATATTAACCTATTTTTTGTGGAAAAATATACTTGAAATGAGCAGCCTTTCAATGATGGACCTAGTCACCACTTCTTGATTATTCCCTATAAGAATATTGTCGCCAACATAGACTACCAAGATAACAGACATTTTCAAGTTGTGTCTAAGTGATCTTTTGTGTTATCATGAAGGCTAGTCTCAGCAATAGCTTAGCAAAACTTATCAAATTATGAAAGAGGGCTTGTTTAAGCCCATAATTGGACCTATTAACCACTGGAGCTACTCCAACCTTTTACGTATATACTCTTTTTGCATTCTATCTATAAGAGTGAAGCCACTCATCCACTTGAGCATCCTTTTCTCTGCAACACTTAAACTAATTTTACACTTCTCATTTAATGGCCAACATTCTGCTTCATAAAACATTGTAGGTCTCATCACCATCTTATAGAATTTTCCCTTAAGTTTGAGGGATGCATTCCTATCACACAAAAGACCCGATGCATCCCGCCACTTCAACCATCCAACTTGAATTTTACTAATAATATCCCCATCTATTTCACCATCACTTTGAACAATAGACTTGATATATCTAAAACGTGCACTCTTATTAATGACTTGATCGTCCAAAGTCACAATCCTCCCACTATATCTATTACTGCTAAAATTACACTCCATTTATTCAGTTTTAGATCTGCTCAAACAAAAACCTTTCAATCTGTGCCAATAATCTTGCAAGCTCGCGGTCATAATTACCTTTCAATCTGAGGGAATCTTTTACAGCACAATCTTTAACCCAAGAAAAACAACTAAAACCATGTTATTATAACCCAAAAGTACGATTAAATTGAAGGGCAGAATAAAAAATTCCATTTAACTCTTAAAGTATTCATTTAAAACAGCAAACATTACATTTTGTGCCCCGAGCTTGACATTAAAGAATCTAACAAATGCATTGGTAAAATGATTTCTTATTCTTTGTGAATCATTATCATCATCATAATTATCAGCCTTATCCCAATTATTTGAGCTTCGCATTATGAATCATCATTTTTTATTCATTCTTATTGAGTGTTGTATGAGTTGTTAAACCTATTCTTATTAAATCATTTTAAGAAACTTCATATAACATTGGGTCAAAATAGTTTTCTTCCTAATCCTTTAACATTAGTTTTATTAAGTCGTCTAATGAGTGTCTTTTATACCCTTTTTTGTATGTCCAAAGTACATAAAA